ATTCGCTTGGTAATTGAGAGTATACCTGTGTAATTCCTTTATATCTTCTTAGTGGATTGTTTTGTGGCTGTTGTTCGTGATTTTTTTATCACAATTGGAGGTGCTCCAATTGTGGTTTTTCCACGTTAAAATCGTTGTGTCGATTTGTCTTGATTGTTTGATTGGGATTGTTTTATTACTTAAAATTGATACATAATCACAAATCAATATCTAGCGGATTTCTAGATTTTTCAATTGGTATCAGAGCAGGTCGCTCTTTTGTTTTTTAAAACTTTTGAGCGAGATCTTGTTTGATTTGCGATAATGGATTCAATTCGTGATTGAAATTCTATGGTTTGACCGCTCCTACTTGACGGATCCAATTATTCATTTTGGAAAGCTCGGATGAGATCGTTTTTAAAATCTATGGATGAACAAGTTTGGCAATCTGTCATGTATGGGTGGACTGAACCCACGATTACCGTTGATGGAGTAACTTTCCCCAAACCAATTTATAAGTGGGACACAATTGATTATCAAAATAGTAGCTGGAATGGTAAAGCTATCAATTCTCTCTTTTGCGCTGTCACACTTGAAGAGTTTAGTCGAATTTGCAATTGTGAAGTTGCAAAAGAGGCTTGGGATATCTTACAAACTATTCATGAGGGCACTCATTCTGTTAAACGCCTAAAACTTCAAAGGCTCACGTCTAGTTTCGAAAACCTTTCAATGAAAGATAGTGAGACCTTTGATGAATTTTATGCGAAATTGAGTGACATTGTAAATTCCAGCTTCAATTTAGGTGAAAAAAATACCGGAATCTAAGATTATAGGAAAAATTTTGAGGTCCTTGCCCGATCGGTTCCAACCAAAAGTTACGGCGGTTGAGGAGGCTCAAGATGTTGATAACCTCAAGCTGGATCATCTGGTTGGAAATCTCCAAACTTTTGAGGCACATAGAAATTTCAAAAAGAAACAAAAAGATACTATTGCTTTTAGTAGTGCTCATAGAGTTGGAGAGGATTCTGATGAGGATTGTGAGATAGATTCCAAGATTACGGATGCTTTTGTAAAATAATTTAAAAAATCTTTTTTGAAAAAAAATTCTAATCTTTTGGATTCTACTCATACTCATAAATCCAAAGGCAAAGATAAACTCAAAATTAATTCTATAGCCAAGAAAGAAAAAGGAAAGATACAAGAGAACTCTGAAAGAGTCCAATGCTATGAATGCCAAGGATTTGGCCACTTTACTCAAGAATGCCTCACTCGTTTGAAGAAGAAGAAAGCCCTCGTTATCACTTGGGATGATGAATCAAAATCTAATAAAGATGAAAGTGACAACGAAGATCAAGGTGAAGAGGGACATAAACAATTCCTTGCCTTCATGGCGGCTTCCGAAACTGATGGACGAATAGAGTATCCGAAGAGCCCAATTGAGAATGCCACTGATGATGAATCCTCGAGGAGTGAAGATGAAGAACTTCAACAAGCATATCAAAAGTTGTATAAGGAATCTCTTAACTTATCCAAATTGAATGACAAACTCACTACGAAACTCAAAGCATGTGAAAGTGAGAATGTCAAATTAAAGAAAGAGATTTCCGAGGCTAGGAATGATGCCCTTAAGATTTCTAATGATCGACAAGTTCTTTGTGCAAAACTCTTGACTCGTGAGACAGAGAGAAATGAGCTTCAGCAAATCTATGCAACATATGAAGAAAAGATTGAAACTCTCAAGATGTCTCAAGTTGCTTTGGAAGAACTAATGATCAAGAAAGATGAGGAACTCAAGTGTGCTATGGTTACCATTGGTCTTTGGAACAGAGGATCAAAGACTTTGGACAATATCATTGGGTCTCAACAAATTTGTTCTGACAAGAGTGGCATTGACTTTGGTGGTAAGAAAGAGCAAAAACAAAGTGCTTCCACATCTCATGATACAAGAACTCAAGGAAAATGAGAACAAAAAATTCAACATAAGGATGGACTTCTCAAACTTCCTAGAGTTGGTAAGGCCAAAGAAAAGAAGGTACACTTTGTTTTTCTTTGTCATCATTGTGGTATGCATGGTCATATTCGCCTTTATTGTTATAAGTTGTATGGCAGAGTGTCTCATAGAGATGGAATAAATTCCAACATCTCGTGGGGTAAGAGACACTTCATTGGTAGTAATGAGGTTAAGGGTCATATTAGACCTCGTTATTTTGATGTGCTTGAGACCAAACATAGAGCGAGTTTGCATTTGCCTAGACCTATAAATAGGAAGTTGGAAACCATGTCTAGATGGGTTCCCATTGAAAGGGAAGGGAACCACAACGTCAAGACACCACCCAAGAACTGAAATTCTCACAACTTTCTTCATACTAAAGCGGTTTGGGTGAGAAAACTTGACTTGTGTTAATTTGTTTATTCGTTTTAGTTTTTGGGTTTCTGTGTGTTTTCTTTTTGAGTCATTTAATGAGTGTGTGTTTGTTTTCTGTCTTGCTTTATTTGGAAAAAAAAAATGTGAGCTTGTTCATTTTTGTCTTGCTTTATTTTTGAAAAAAAAAAAAAACCAAAAAGATTTTCTTAGTATGTGGTTTTGCAAGCTTGAAATTTTTGAGATGTCCTTGGTGCATATTGGAATTGATGAGAATATCTATTACATGTTAATATGTGTGTGATTTCTATGGTCATTACTCATTTTGGAGTGTGTGTTCTTTGATTAGTATGTCTCATTCTGTACACACTCTTGGATTAGCAAATTTGGAGTCTTCCGCCTTAGTGATTATTTTTCTTATGGACTTCTGACATTGTATCTTTTGCTTTTCTAGAGGAATTAATCTATACTAGCATATCATGGGTGATGTTTAGTCTCTTAACCACCTTCCATCTTTTTGCATCTCCATGGCTTTCCCCTTTGTTCTTTAGACTCCAGGCATGAGGAAAAGGCTACCTCAGAGTCACCAACCAGGCTATCCTTATTATATCCATGTTTCTCTGGTTCGGTTTCCATACTCTTGAGCGTGTCAGCCACCAATGAGTATGCAAAAGAAAAAAAAATGTGCAAAAGAAAAAAAAATGTGAAAATAAGAGGATTCATTGATTGAGGGGGAGCCTCCACTATTACTCAACAAATACCCCTTGATTCCTAGTGGTTTGACTTTCCTTAGTTGTGCTTAGATTCTCTTGTCGGAAGTCCAGCTTTTATATCACTACTAGGATTTGAATTTAGTGTTTGTCGAACTCCAAGAGTCACACACACACTTTTATCATGGTATCTATGCTTTTCACATAATGCATCACTTTCTTTTATGAGAAATCTTCTAGAAGCTGTGCACATTGTGTTTTCAAGTAATTGTGCTTCTTGGATAATCTTATGTGTTTCAAGGTACAAATCTGAAATTCCTTGCTTGCTCCACCATATTATTTTTTGTCATTTTCTTCTTGTTCATTGTTTTTAGTGAGGGGGAGTTTGGTTTATCATTACAAGAGTTTTTTAGCATGGACACTTTGATTTGTTTGGTAAGGGAGATTGGCTATAGTTGTTTTGCATGTTGCTATGCAATGTTTGCTTATTATTTTCTTCTTGATCTTACTTTAGTTGATTGAGCTTCCTTTGTCAATTCGTAACAAAAAGAGGGAGAAAGTTGTTTTTCATGTATTCATGTCATGTGACGGGTGCATGTGTCTTAGTTTTCATCTATTCTTGCTACATGGTCTTAAAATCTCCAAGTCGAATCTATTCATGTTTTCCATCTCATACTTAAAGATAATCTTTACTTCAAGATAATCTTGTCATATGTTTATTGCTTTTTCATATACTCTTGTGAGACTAATAGTTGTTTTGGAGATTGTGGCACTAATAACTGTTTTGCAGATCATGACCTTGAGAAAGAAGTTGGCTTTTGTTGGCTGTTATGGGTTAGGGTGTTTAGGATTTTATTTGTTAAGTGTGTTTTGTCACGGCATTGCCAAATGGGGAGATTGTTAGGTTTTTATTCTTGGCAATCCCGTTTGACAAAACTCCTTTCAGTTGTACTTGTTTTCGCACTTTTATTTTAGTGAGGCTATGGGTTTATTATATGCGAATCTAACCCGAATCGTGCTTTGCAGAGAAGTTTGTGGTGTTTAATTCTTGCAAGATTGCCACTTCGCTGACTATGACGGGGATCGAGCTGCCCCGTCAGCTCGCGAGGGTCCAGGGGGTGGCGCCCTTTGGCGGGTCTGGGGCAGCGCCACGGCGGGGCTGAGGGACAGCGCCCTTGAAGGAAAATGCAAAATTGCCTAGAAATTGCCTGTCCGCTCGAGCGAAGAATCCTTGGTTCCAGAAGTTTGATAGCCTACAAAAATACTGCGAGATGTTTTTTTCCCGCTTGAGCAGGATTTCCAGCGCTCGAGCGTAGGTTCGCTCGAGCGGCCATTCCAACGATCGCGGGATAGTTTTCTATAAATACGTGTTTCAGTCCAACTCGAGCGGAGATCGCGGGACAGTTTTCTATAAATATGTGTTTCAATCCAAATCTAGGGTAATGCCTCTAGATCTTCTTCTTGGGTTCTAGGGTTTATATCTGGGGCTATTTTGCTAGTTTTCTTTGATGTTTCATTGAGTATTCAACTCGTGGTTTAAGAAGCATACATCAAAGGTTTGTTTGTTTATTCTACACAAAAGAGAGAGTTGTTCTTCAGTGAATTCTGAAGAATTCGAACTTGAAGCTTTGGTGGATTCTGAAGTGGCTCATCGTCAAGACAATTCCAAGGTGCAGACGGGACTGGAAGAGGCACATAGAGGTTGATTCAATTCGGGCGTGGATTTGCTAGGTAATTGAGAATATACCTGTGTAATTCCTTTATATCTTCTTAGTGAATTATTTTGTGACTGTTGCCCGTAGTTTTTTTATCATAATTGGAGGTGCTCCAATTGTGATTTTTCCACGTTAAAATCGTTGTGTCGATTTGTCTTGATTGTTTGATTGGGATTGTTTTATTGTTTAAAATTGATACATAATCACAAATCAATATTTAGCGGATTTCTAGATTTTTCATTTAGGATTAAGTTTTCGCAGAGATAGAACATTGAAAGAGATTTTTTTTTTTTTCTTTGTTTCTTTTTCCGCCTTTCCTTCCTTTTTCTTTTCTTTTCTTTTCTTTTCTTACATACTTATAAGACAGATGTATAAAATCACACTGGATTATTACACAAGAAAACAATTCAAACAAGCCTAGCAACAAAGAAAACAAAGTGTTAAATTCCATAGGTGTGTTGTTTGGTTTTAGCCTAAGAAATCAGAAGCGAAAGCATCCAAATATCCTCTTTGGAGTATTGCCAGTTGAACGGAATTTTGCAGCTATCTCTTCTACAGTGAGAATATCCTCTCCACGTTTGGCCTCGACCATCACTCTCTTTTCTTCTGCTGCCTTGTGGATTTCAGACTTCTTGTTGTTCATCTTCTCTGCATATTCTGCCCTCTTCTTTTCAAGTTTTTCCTGTTCATGTTACTGTTCTATGAGAACAATATCGACTCAAATAAAATTGCACTAAACAATTTCTATGCTTTAATGTGACATTTGGACTAGTGAATTTTGTAACCTTTCTTATGTCTTTAGAATGTAGGGAATTTTGAATAGCGTGATTTTAATCATAGTTTTGCTGGTAAGAGAGTGCGATAAATAGATAGTTTTGAATCAATTCTTTTTTGTTTCCAAATAATTAAGTTACGTATCATGAAAAAAATATCATGAAAATGATTATGAAAAATTATTTACCGTTAGATTACACATACAAGAAAAAGTGGAAAAAGTGGAAAAATGGAAACGGATCAACATGTGTTTGGCAGCTTTTATCATGTTGAGGCTGTAACAACCGGAAGATGTTTGTTTAAGAAATTTAGTAGAGAAAAAATATATTTACCTCAATCTTCTTTAGCTGAGCTTCTACAATTGCTTTTCTACTGTTCTCCCACGCTCCAATGGCTGATAACTTTTTATATGCCCTAATCAATAGTTTCGGAGCATTAACTCACAATAATTCAAGAGTTCAAGCTTGTTATAGAAAAATTATCCCATAAAATAAAAATAAAATAAAATAAGAGAGCTTATCATAGATAAATGAATTGAAAAAAAAAAAAAAAAAAGAAAAGAAAAAGAAAAGACTTGGATTTGAAGAGAACAAATTTGTGCCATCTTTGAATGATAACGTGAAGTATTAAATCCATTGTATTGAATTCATATGAAGTGCATGTAGGGAGTCCCAAGGTTACACATCAATGGAGAAATATAATTGTATGGTAGTTTTTTTTTTTTTTTTTTTTTTTTTTTTTTTTTTTTTTTTTTTTTTTTTTTTTTTTTAAAAAAAATAAAATTTTTTTTTATTTTCAATTGCAGTTGGAGGTTCTGTATGGGACAAAAATTAGACTGAAATATTTATAAATTTTTGCTTTGAATTTAGTATGAAATTCACACAACAAAATGAAAAAAATTGTAGTGTATATCTATAAACTTGTCCCTCGTAAGTCATATTTTCTGGATCTATATCATCTTGCCCACAACACAATACAATCAAAAGCATTTTCTTTTATTAAATAAAAGAAGCAAAAAGTTACAAAGCCATCACTATCAAACAAACAATAAAGCAAGTCTTGAGGCATGATTGCTATCTCACTGAACTCCATTGTTTTCTCATCAATCTTCCACCAATTAAACGCCGGGCCACGAGGGCCATTGCACAATCCAGCTAATACAAGTTGATCTTGACAAGAAACCAAGAATGAAAACAAAACCCCAGGAGGCCTAAGTGTCTGGACCTCACTCCAAAAGTGTTTAGGAGATGAAAGCGATGGCGAGCAAGGGGCGAGAGATGGTGGTGGTGACGGTGATGGGGATGAGGGAAGAGAGAAGTAGGCGAGATAAGAGAGAGAGAGA